AAAATCGCAATAGTTATAAAGTTATTAATGATTGAAAATGACCACATCTGGAGATTCTTTTAATGGATAACTTGAAAATTTGCGTATTTATTTGCAAAATGGTAAAAGACGTTTTTGGTCAGAATGACTGCTATTGTTATATGGCGGCTATTGTATCTAGTGATAGATATGAGTATATTGAACTTTTTGAGGAGGGAATGTGATATCGATTTTCCCCAGCTCCCCCACTCTGGCCCGGCTGGTAGACACTGCAGGGGGCTTTTAGCCGGTAAGAGTCCGATATAACTCTCTCCTACTCAAGAAGGCAGAGATATCCATGAAAATTTCCCGCGTGAACAAAAAGGAAAAGTACATTGAACTTTGAAGTCTGAATCTTGGATCTGTTGCTACGCACAATAGCCGTCATATAATTGTCGTTAGGTCATTCTGATCAAAACGGTCTTTTACCATTTTGTAAATAAGTACGCAAATTTTCACGTTATCAATTAAAAAAGACATGGCCATTATCAATTATTATATTATTATATAATAATAACTTAATAACCATTGCGATTTTTGCAAAATCGTACTTGACTTTTCTTTTCATTTTGATCCGATTAATCTTCAAATTTTTCATTTTCATAAGATTCCAAACATTCTATATATATATATCCCACACAGCACTGCAATATTGCAGCAATATTGAAGCAATATTATAATATCGTAGCAATATTACAAAATCACAAGATTATTATATAATATTCCAGCAATATTATCACAATATTACAGAGTGATATATCAGATTACAATATCACTGGAATATTATTGCAATGTTACAATGTGACTATCGTATGGCAACATAGTGACAATATTACAACAATATTGCGAGATGATAAATCTCATTGCAATATCACAGGAATATTGCCGCTATATTCCAGCATGATAGACCGCTACGTAATATTTCTGAATATCGCAGTAATACTTCAATGTGATATATCAATCTACAATATCGCAGGAATATTATAACAATGTTGCGGAGTGATATATCAGGTTACAATATCACTGGAATATTACTGCAATGTTACAATATGACTATCGTATGGCAACATAGTGACAATATTACAACAATATTGCGAGATGCTAAATCTCATTGCAATATCACAGGAATATTGCCGCTATATTCCAGCATAACAGACCGCCACGTAATATTTCTGATTATCGCCGTAATACTGCAGTGTGAAACAATTTATATACAGGGTGTCCCATTTTAATGTCACATCACAAATATCTCAGAAACATTGCGTTAAATAAAAAAGTATTTCAGACAAAAGTTGTTTGGCTTGAAGGAAGACAAGAAAGCGATAGCATTTTGTTTATAAATGGCGCCACTTTTGAGATATTCACTGACAATCAATTTTCATAAATGGAAATCTGAATTTTTTATTATATTTTCTTTTTCTATCAATTAATTTGAACAATTTTTGTCTGAAACATTTTTTTATTTGGTTAATATTTTTTGAGATATTTAAGGAAAACTTGGTAACTTTTTCAACATTTAACTTACGATATCTCGCTAACTATTCGTCGAAAGAAAAAATAGTATCAGACTTTTTTACTTTACTTACTATCAAGAATATATTATTATAATAGTGCCCTAACTTTTGTTAACTTATCGACCTTTGGAAATTTCAAAATTATTAAATTAACAAAAGTTAGGGCACTATTAATATATTCTTGATATTAAATAAAGTAAAAAAGTATAATACTATTTTTTCTGTCGACGAATAGTTAGCGAGATATCGTAAGATAAATGTTGGAAAAGTTACTAAGTTTTCCTTAAATATTTCAAAAAATATTAAGCAAATAAAAAATGTTTCAGACAAAAGTTGTTCAAATTAATTGGTAGAAAAAGAAGATATAATAAAAAGTTGGAATTTTCATTTATAAAAATTGATGGTCAGTGAATATCTTGAAAGTGGCGCCATCTATTAACAAAATGCTATCGCTATCTTATGTCCCCCTTCAAGTCAAACAACTTTTGTCTGAAACATTTTTTTATTTAATGCAGTGTTTCTAAAGCGTTGTCTACAATGGCCGTAAGCAATAAGAAGAAAGCGTGAACAGTAAGAAATGGGCCAACCATAGTTGGTTATTTTTGTCATAATCGACTGTGATTGGTTTATTTCTTACCGCTTACGCTTACTTCTTACTGCTTACTGCCATTGTAGACCACGCTTGAGATATTTTTGCGAGATTTATGCCTAGGACATTAAGTATTTTTGCAATATTGCTGTGATATTTATGCAATATTTCAGTAATATTCCTGCAATATTGCAGCAACATTTAAGAAATATTGTAGCAACATTCCTGCACGATTGCAATAATATTTCGGCAATATTTTGCAATTTTTCTGCAGTATTGTGGCTATATTTCATAGGTATTCCTGCAAGATTGTGGCGATATTTCAACAACATTGTGGCAATAGTCCTGTGATATTGTGACAATATTCCTACAACATCATAACAATATTCCCGCAATATTTCTGCGAGACTTATGCCTTGGACATTAAATATTTCTGCAATATTGTTGTCATATTTATGCAATATTTTAGTAATATTCCTGCAACATTTCTGTAATATTCCTGCAATATTGCGGATATATATATATATAACATTGATATAAAGACAAAATAATGATACAAGATATGATTACAAAATTGATATTTATCTAACATACTAGTTAGATAATATACTAATTACGAGGTACTCGTACGTATCTCGATATTAATATCGATATCATTTTTATCGATATAAAACTTTAGTTTGTAGACAAAGCTTTCTCTTCTGTCCAAAAAGCTGAAAAATCAGAGACAATTGTTAAGCAATGACACAGTAATTAAAGATAAAAAATATGTAAGTCAGCTTAAGTATTTAATTGTCTATAATGTAAATGCGAGTTCATTCACACAATCGCAGAAAATTTCGAATCTCCATTACTTGACTCCGATTTTCTCATTCCTTGCTGTCATTTGATATTTATCCTAAGAAACAGTTGAAAAATTGAAGCCGTATTTGAAATTTACAATGTTCCCCTCATTGCATAATATACAGTCTATAAAGTAAGAGCGTGTACGGCATAAATGGCAGTTGGCTTCAAATATCGTCCTAGTTTTTTGTGAGCCGATAGATGAAATCTTTATCGTGAATGCTTTGTCACAAAAGATTCAGTTGGCGTCGAACTCTAACCTGAGAAACATGTTAACCGCCATGAGTGCCGCATACGCATCGCGCTACGAGCCTGTGTTTTTTTGTTCCCACCTCAAAGGACCAAAAATGTCATATGCAGTGGCTGCTAAATACATGGGAAAGTCAAAATCGTTCGTCGCTAAATGGGTTCAGGAATATAAGAAGATTAAAAATGCCGATTATTTGCCAGAACGTGACTCGATAGGCAAAGTGACGCCGAATATGGAAAAAAAATTGTGAATTTGTTTAAGCGCAACCCGACCTTAATGCTTAAAATTTATGAGAAGTGTTTGTTGCCGATTGCTGACCGATGCTTCATAAAAAGAAACGAGGACTGGATCTTACAAGAAGACAACGACCCAAAACACCGGAGCAAGCTTTGCACCGAGTGGAAAGAGTAGTCTGGCATCGTCACACTTGATTGGCCATCGCAGTCGCCAGATGCAAATCCCATTGAAAATGTGTGGGCATATCTCAAGCAGAAGCTTCGAGGAAAAAGAGTGTGCACTTTGAAGCAACTGACACGACAAATTCGTCTCATTTGGAGGTCTTTACCGAACGAATACGCAGTCAACTTAGTGGAAAGTATGCTTTGGAGATGCCAGGCAATTATCAATGCCGGTGGTGACTGGACTCATTATTAATGGTATAGCATTTTTCTGTTCATGGAGTACAACAAATCCATGTACTTAAAAATCATTAAAAATAAATTTTTCTATACATTAACCCGTGCACACTCTTACTTTACAGACTGTACCTCTCATTGATGATTGGTCTTTCGTTAATATCGCAAAATTTCATGTGATTATTTTACAAAATAGTAAAGAAATTTTTGTTTAGTTTGACACAATCTACCTGCACGCAATGGAATTGCTTCAAATTTTTAGACACCCTGTATTTCACGCTTATTCTATTCATTTCAGATTTGCTTTTATTCCTTCCCGATTTGCATAGGTCGAGATCCCTATTTACGCGCTATTTTGTAAAATATGACAAGACGTACTCTCTAAGGTGTGAGGATTCAAGAAAAATGCATTGAAAATCGTAATGTAAAAGGGTAGAGAACCGGGAAGTCAATTAATTGCGAAAAGCCTTTTAAATAAATGGTAATTAAAGTATTCCTATATCATTCAAAACAAATTATACTATTCTAGCATTACTCCAATAATATTACATGCAATATTTGTTGCCTCGAGCATCGAGCATTTATCAATTTTCTTTTCATAAATTAGTAAAATTCTTATTATCTTTATTTACTGACGCATATTTTACATCGTATTTTCTGTATATTTTAGTTTTTGCAATCATGAGAATCTTAAATAAGCGGTGCAGGAAACTTCCATTGCTAGTGGTAACATTTTAAAATAGATATACTTAACTTGATATACAATTGGTATTATTTATAATATTATTTATAATATTTGCTACTATTATTGATAAAATTATTTTATCGCACTAAAATTTACACATTTGCACATATATATGTATAGGAATATATATGTGCGAGATCACTTGTTTGCACTATTAATAAAACCATATCTACATAGAGTAACAGAATGTTTCTAAAGTAAAATAATTGAAATTAATAAACGTTAATTAAAATTAAAATAACATTATGAAGGGTATATGTCTTATCATATGATGTCATAATATCCATATTTGTGTTTGTTACGTCAGCATTTGCGAGCTTATCGCAACTCTAGTCTGCGAACGTATATTATCAGATGGAATACTCAATTACTTCCATTCGCATATGTTAACTGACTAGATGCGTTAGACGGGTGGGAACGATTGTATATAATCCACTAAAATACTTCGTCGTTTCAAAGTAAGCGCCATTTATTCTTGGAAGACTCGAGACTTCAAGTCGTAAAGTTGAAAGGAAAGTTTATCGAACCAACAGAACGACATTTCAGTTATTCCAAAAATAAGCAGTGTCTTTAGCAACAACAACGAACTATGTCAAAGGTTAAGAATCTCGCTGAATTCTCAGCCAAAGAATTAAATAAATTTTTCTCATCTTTTGATACAGTATTTTCCGACATCGATGGTGAGTGACTCTTCATAATGTAATTTTTCTTTTCGAGATAGTGCAGACACAATCAGCAAAAGGATAGATATTAATTATCAGACAGATATTAGATTTATGTCGCGCTTTCAAGCGCGAAGGTTCGACTGATAACGTATTAATACGCAATATAATCTAATGCAATGTTAAGCAACCGATTTCATTTTTAAGTGTTCTTCTATTGCTTGTTTATATTTAACTAATTGTAATAATATGTAAATATTATTGTGACATTAGTATCAGGTGATTAATATTACGTTATCGTGACACTCTAAGTTTTAATTAATAAAATATTATTCAAGATAAATAACATAAGCCTTACAAAAATTAATGTAAGTGAATCTTACAGATTTTTGAATGCTGAAAATAAATCTGTCCTTCAAATGACTTTATCACGTCAAGTTTTGAAGTGGTGAATGATTGAGACTCAAAGAAATCGTAATTTTGGTCAGTTTTGGCCATAAATTGTTAAATTTATATACGATACTGAAATTAGTATAGATAATTCTTATAAATTTTTGAATGTTGAAGACAAATGTTTCCTCCAAATTAACCAACATGTCAAGCTCTTTAATAACTATTAACTGCAATCCCAAAAACCGTAATTTTGGTCATTTTTAATCGTCTATAAATTATTAAATCTACGTGAACAGAAATTAGTGTAATTTTTGATAGATTTTTTGATGTTGAATACTAGTTCATAGTCTAAATTATTTAATCATATTTTTTTACTAATCTAAAACCTCAAAATATATTACTGTTAAATAATCTGAGCTACAAATCCGTGTTCAACATTATTTAAAATATTATATGATATACAGGGTGTTTGATAGCTGATCATGCAGACGAAAGTTGGAGATAGATTGGGTGTAGCCGAGAAGAAAAGTCATGTACCATAATGTCAAATTGGCAATAGTTACCGAGTTATTAATTAAAACATGTGAGCCAACGAGCGCGTAGAGAGCGGAGAGCGGCCGCAGTAAACACGTAGACATTTGATACAGGCGGAGTCAGTGAGTAGCGGTAGACAAGCGCGCGCGGCGAGGGGCAACGTAAGCGACAAGAGGCGATCGCGCGCGACGAGGAGCGAGCGAGCTTTTTCTTTACAGCTTTTTCTTTATAGCTCGCTCGCTCCTCGTCGTTCGCGCTCGTTCGCTCTTCGTCGCGCTCGCTCGCCTCTTGTCGCTTGCGCTCGCTCGCTCCTCGTCGCGCGCGTTCGCCTCTTGTCGCTTACGTTGCCTCTCGCCGCGCGCGCTCGCCTACCGCCACTCGCTGACTCCGCCTGTATCAAATGTCTACGTGCTTACTGCGGCCGCCCTCCGCTCTCTACGCGCTCGTTGGCTCACATGTTTTAATTAATAACTCGGTAACTATTGCCAATTTGACATTATGGTACATGACTTTTCTTCTCGGCTACACCCAATCTATCTCCAATTTTCGTCTGCATGATCAGCTATCAAACACCCTGTATATACTCTGCATGGATGTGCATATAAAATATATCAATTTGTGTAAATAATATATGATGATGATGTGCACATGAATAAGGACCAGACGAAAATTCAGTGTTTATGAAAATAATTCCTTTCTTATTCTGAACAAAATTATTTATTTAAACATTACTATTTTAAAACTTGGTTGAGATATTTGAATGCAATTGACTGAATGAAAACTTTCTACAAAATTTTTTCTGTTTCTACAATCAAAATTTTGTCTAATCTCATAATAAAAATTCAAGTACATAAGCTAAGCTTGTACAAAAAAATGTTCTTTAATATTTTGCAAATAATCATAATAATTAATGAGATATTAATTAAATAAAGTTACTCTGGCAGAAATAAATAGTACAATACAAAACAATGTAAGTGAGAATAAAAGTGATGAAAGTGTTAATTTTTTACTTTGTTTCGAGAGAGTTTAATATTTTTGTGTTATTATTTTCATTTCTTTTTTCATATTTTTGTGCACTTTTACCGCACTGACCATCACTCTTCATTCTTTTTTCACAAGATGAAAGTATCAGTGAATTTTTATTTCATCCATAAAAGACACATTTTCTATATTCTTTATCCCTTTATAATGTTCTCATTGTCGAAATTGCAATACGTTTTTTTAACCGTTATATCTTTTAAAAAATACTATATTTTATTCAAAAAATACTATATTTTCGTCATTCTCTGTTGTACGTTCTTGCTTACATGTTACAAAGAGTTCCTCAGTTTTTCATAACCCTTTATTCTTAAAATTACCGCGTTAAATTTTATTCTCAGATCTCTTCAATTATTTAATGCACTTTTTATCTAATATTACTCTCATTGTATTTTACTGTAATTCCTTATAAATATCGCATATGCACTTGCAATATTCTCTGTTATTCTTTATCGCGCCTTCTTTCAATTCCCTTTTTTGCATTTTTTCATTTCCATATCAGGCAAAAATGAATATATGTGATGCAATGTAAAATCTTATTTGTCAAATTGCTATAATTAATAATTATTATAATTGTTACACAGTGTAACAAAATAATACAAGATTTGTACATTTAATTTAATGAATTTCACTTGCACACGATATGAAGAGTCACATCAGCAATTATTTTATCTCAGAAGAATGTAAAATGAATCAAATAATCAATGCTCTCAATCTTTCAGGAGTCATAGTAAACTTATTTAGCACACCCATCAAAGGTGCTTTAGAATCTTTAACAAAATTAAGTAAATTGGGAAAAAATGTGTATCTGGTAACAAATAATACCTTATATGAAGCGGAACACTATGCGAAAAAATTTCAATGTAGCGGATTTGAGATAAGTCCGGTAAGTATCTCTGTTACGATTGATTAATTTTATTTTATAAGAAATTATTATCAGATTGGTGCAAGATTGGTGGTTTTTTAATTAAATTTTGACTTACTTAATATTTCAAAAAGTGTCATGATTATTCTGTTACGTCATATGCACAGCAAAGAAAATCTGCTATATCTTATTTTTGTGACATATGTATTTTTATGGATTCGTGCAAGCATAATGTACACACACGCACACACACATTTTTTTTATAACGGTGGGGAAATCCATCATGAATACCCCCGCCCCTTGGGGAGGACGGGGGTTATGCCGGACTACCACCGGCTGAAACTCCACCGGGGTGCCTACCGATCGGACCGAAGTAGGGAGAGTCAGGGGAACTACATCTGCATTCCCTCCCCGACACCCCGGCCCCGGAACTCTAAGAGAGCCCTTCGCATAAGTACCGCACCCTCTCCCACAAAGGGAGTCTAGGGCGCGGTGCTCCGACCAGTTGCCCAGCCGGGTTGGCGTCCCGGTCTAAATTAGCAGGGAGGGGGACACCCGCCCTCCTCGCCACCGCCTTCACCCTTCCCTACTGGGTAGGAGAGGCAAGGGAATGGAGCCATGCCCCAGCCCGGTCTCAACTCCCCCTCTCCCTTCCCTTACCGACGCTCGCTGTGGGTGGGAGGATTCAACCCCCCCTCTCACCCACTCCCGCCGCGCTGCCGAAGGCGGGCCCGAGGCGGTCAAGGGAGCCTCCAAGAAATCGGAGGCCGCTCCTCGGCCGGCGCCACCTCGGGCCTGCTCCCCACGCCTGGGGAGCGCTGCTCCCGTCGTTCCCTGCGACACGCTGTTGGGCGGCACTCCCACTCGGCGGCCTCCTTGCGGGACATCACATCCCGACAAAAAGAGGCCGCCACTCCCCATACGTCTTCGCTCCGAGTGAGTCCCAGATGCGCACAGAATAAAACGGACACAGCACGTTGAATGAAACAGACACAGTGACAAACAGACACAGTAAGAAAAGGACACAGTAACAAACGGACACAGTAAGAAACGGCCACATGGTGGTTGCAATCGGACACAGTGACAATCGGACACAGTAGGAAACGGACACACGGTGGTTGCAATCGGACACAGTGAGAAACGGACACAGTAAGAAACGGACACAGTGAGAATCGAACACAGTAAAAATTGGACACAGTATCAAATGGACACAGTAGGAAACGGACACATCGTGGTTGCAATCGGACACAGTAAGAAACGGACACAGTGACATTCGGACACAGTAATAAACGGACAAGGTAGGAAACGGACATACGGTGGTTGCAAACGGACACAGTGAGAAACGAACACAGTAAGAAACGGACACAGTGACATTCGGACGCAGTAACAAACGGATACAGTAGGAAACGGACACACGGTGGTTGCAATCGGACACAGTGAGAAAAGGACACAGTAAGAAACGGACACAATGACAATCGGATACAGTAACAAACGGACACAGTAGGAAACGGACACACGGTGGTTGGAATCGGACACAGTGAGAAACGGACACAGTGAGAAATGGACACAGTAAGAAACGGACATAGTGATAATCGGACACAGTAACAAACGGACACAGTAAGAAACGGACACAGTGAGAATCGGACACAGAAAAATGGACACAACATGAAACGGACACAGCAGGAAACGGACACACTGTGGTTGCAATCGGAGACAGTAAGAAACGGACACAGGAAGAAACGGACGCAATGACAATCGGACACAGTAACAAACGGACACAATAGAAAACGGACACAGTAGGAAACGGAAAAAAGTGAAGAAAAAGTAAAATCTGATCGTACGTGCATTATTTATGTGTATTATTGCTGAATCGACTCATCTTTTCATATTGTGCGGTCACTTCTGCACTTGTGCAGATTGTTCTAGTTAAATCATGCGGGATAGTGATGATGTTAAAACTTGTTCAATTTGCAAAGCACAAATTTCATCGGTGTACAAAATATATATGCCATAAACATGTCTTACTTTTATTTGAAGAGTATAAAAACATTTAGAATTGTCAGCATCTTTTTTAATACATATTCTTTATGACGTTTATCGCACACATTCTAAGACAGTAGATTTGTTGCCAATATAACAGTATTATATATGTTAAGCATTACGTACTGAAATGTGTTGTAGACTAAGGCTGTATGCAAGATTAGGTTGAAAGTATTTACTGCTAATTTCTCACAATACTTTAAGGTGAATTATATAAAAATTACTTATATGCTAATATTCAAAGTTATTTTCTTTAATAATATATATTATAAACATTTCCGAAACAATGTGTGTTACATAATTACATAACAATTATATAACAAGCCAACAAAAGAACAGTAGGAAGCACGCATACTAAAATATAACGTATATCTTAAAATATATATGGTTATTTTTATCTGCAACGACTGCAAGGTTGACGTGCTTTCCGTTTTCGTGTAATCTGGAACATTATGTAAATGTTTCAATGTGTAAGTATTATATCTGTCGATAATGAGTAACGTTTCAATGTATACTTACTTTTGATGGAATAGTGTTTTCAATAAACGCTAATAGTTGCTGACTATTCTTAATATATTTTTCGCAGTCTTGACGTGTGAGCTTTATTAGAGTAATTTTAGGTTCTAATAGATTTATTGGGATATCTTCGAGATCTATAGTAAGAGATCTATAGTAACTTGTATTTTTTCTTCACAATTTTTTCCAGTATTGTCTATCAAAGATATATTTGGAATATTTTCGTTTCCTGAAGCGCGATAAGGCAAATTAATAAGAATGTAAGTCAGACATACATAATACAGTTAATACTAACTTTGCATATTTATATGTTGTTCATAACAAACAGTTTCAGGTAGTCCGACAAATAATTCCTCTTCATAATTCTTGTCATTTTTATTTTGCAAAGATATGTCTAATACATTTTCCTTCTCTAGAGCATGATAAAGATAGTTATCTTTTTAAAAAATAATTGTTAGTAAAATATAAAAATTATTGTTAATACTAACTTTGCATATTTACGTGTTCTTGATGTAGAATGTTTTTAGATATTCCGATAAATATTCGCAAAAATTATTCAATGGGTAACTTTGAAAAATATTTTAGTATAACGTTATATATATATATATATGTGTGTGTGTGTGTGTGTGCTTGTGTGTTCAACTAATGTTAGAGAATAATTCTTTTTTGACGGGGCCTGATATTCATCTTATACAGGATGCTAAATTTCAAACGTAACAGATAAAAAATTTTGAAAACTATGAAGGATATTGAACAAACTAAAACACGTTTTCCATGATTTCGAAGGGGAAAGAGAATGGCATTATCAGTTTTTTATTTGGAGGGCATTTTCAAGGTCAGTTGAAGGTCAACTTAATTTTTTTAAATAGAAAGTCCAATTTTTTATTATATCTTCTTTTTATACCAGTTAATTTTAACAACTTTTGTCTGAAACATTTCTTTATTTGCCTAATATTTTTTTAAATATTTGAGGGAAACTTTTTGAGGTAACTTTTTCAACACTTAACTTACGATATCTCGTTAACTATTCATCGAAAGAACAAATAGTATTAGACTTTTGTACTTTATTTACTATCAAGAATATAATACTATAATAGTGCTCTAACTTTTGTTAATTTAATAATTTGAAATTACCAAAGGTCGATAAGTTACCAAAAGTTAGGGCACTATTATAGTATTATATTCTTGATAGTAAATAAAGTACAAAAGTCTAATACTATTTGTTCTTTCGATGAATAGTTAACGAGATATCGTAAGTTAAATGTTGAAAAAGTTACCTCAAAAAGTTTCCCTCAAATATTTAAAAAAATATTAGGCAAATAAAGAAATGTTTCAGACAAAAGTTGTTAAAATTAACTGGTATAAAAAGAAGATATAATAAAAAATTGGACTTTCTATTTAAAAAAATTAAGTTGACCTTCAACTGACCTTGAAAATGCCCTCCAAATAAAAAACTGATAATGCCATTCTCTTTCCCCTTCGAAATCATGGAAAACGTGTTTTAATTTGTTCAATATCCTTCATAGTTTTCAAAATTTTTTATCTGTTACGTTTGAAATTTAGCATCCTGTATAAGATGAATATCAGGCCCCGTCAAAAAAGAATTATTCTCTAACATTAGTTGAACACACAAGCACACACACACACACACACATATATATATATATATATAACGTTATACTAAAATATTTTTCAAAGTTACCCATTGAACAATTTTTGCAAATATTTATCGGAATATCTAAAAACATTCTACATCAAGAACACGTAAATATGCAAAGTTAGTATTAACAATAATTTTTATATTTTACTAACAATTATTTTTTAAAAAGATAACTATCTTTATCATGCTCTAGAGAAGGAAAATGTATTAGACATATCTTTGCAAAATAAAAATGACAAGAATTATGAAGAGGAATTATTTGTCGGACTACCTGAAACTGTTTGTTATGAACAACATATAAATATGCAAAGTTAGTATTAACTGTATTATGTATGTCTGACTTACATTCTTATTAATTTGCCTTATCGCGCTTCAGGAAACGAAAATATTCCAAATATATCTTTGATAGACAATACTGGAAAAAATTGTGAAGAAAAAATACAAGTTACTATAGATCTCTTACTATAGATCTCAAAGATATCCCAATAAATCTATTAGGACCTAGAATTACTCTAATAAAGCTCACACGTCAAGACTGCGAAAAATATATTAAGAATAGTCAGCAACTATTAGCGTTTATTGAAAACACTATTCCATCAAAAGTAAGTATACATTGAAACGTTACTCATTATCGACAGATATAATACTTACACATTGAAACATTTACATAATGTTCCAGATTACACGAAAACGGAAAGCACGTCAACCTTGCAGTCGTTGCAGATAAAAATAACCATATATATTTTAAGATATACGTTATATTTTAGTATGCGTGCTTCCTACTGTTCTTTTGTTGGCTTGTTAT